TGGCAGGGAGGGGAAACTCTAGGAACCAAAGCTGTACAGTGGCTTGGCGGGGAGGAACATGAGGTGGGGAGGGTTAGGCTGGAAAGGATACAGGGGAAAGTAAGGTAGGATAGAGATATGGAGTGATACAGGGAGGGTAAAGATGCATGATATAAGTAGCAGGCATGTGTATGATTAAGTTGTCACTTCATCTCAGCCAAAAGGCCAAGAATTGAAGGGAAAGACAGGAACAGAGAGATACTGGTGAGGTGGGTTACAGGAGTGGAAGGATACTGGCCAGAGGGATTTGGTGCTGGAGGGAGGAAGACAAGGTGGAAAGATATGGAGTGGGGAGGTGCAGGGTGATGGAGAGGGAGGGATACAGAGTGGAAGGTAGGGGAGCCTTATAAGGGTGGAGGAACCAAGGGGCAGAGCTGGGCCAGGGTAGAACAATACAGGTGCAGAAAGATGCAGGGGCCAGGGATACCAGGGTGACAGAAGCTGGGGAGGAGGATTGGAGAGACAGAGAGATACGAGAGTACAGAGATACAGGGTAGAGCAGAATTAAAGGGGAAGTGGGGTGCAGATGGAAGGATACCATAGCAGAAGGATATGGGGCAGAGAGAGGGGCATAAGCCCCCACTACCACCCTGAGGCCTCAGTCTCCTGGAAGCCCTGGATGAAGCACCCCTTCCTGAACTGTGATTCCTTGCTTCATGTTCAGGCTCCTCAGAGGTTGTCCATCCCAGAGGTGCCATCCTGGCGCTTACCTTACTGGGACTTTCTCCTGGTACTGGCTACACCCTGTAGATTACAGGGCGCCAGCCCTGTCCTTCCCCTGCCTGGTGCCATGGGCTTGGCCCAGGCAGAGCAGGGGATGGTCACACAATTGGAGTTGATCCTGGAGCTCAAGTCCAGAGATCCTGCTCACTGCCTGTTGGCTGTGGCTCATGGAGGCCCAGCCAGGAGGCCCGCTGCCCACCAGGCCTGTCACAAGGCTACGCAGGTGCAGTAGTGTCTGAGCTTGCAGGGCAGGATGCCCCGGTTGATTTGGTGGAACTCCACCAGCTGGATGAGGTCAGTGAAGCGTGTCTGCCCGTCATCCATGGTGAAGTAAAGTTTCCCCTCTTCCTCGCTCTGCAGAGAAACAGGGGGCAGGTATCAGGCCCTTGTTACATGGGGCTCTGCTCACTGCCTGTGCTGGCCAGAGGTGGTACCCACATGGCTGGGATCTTTCCTGGGGCTACCTCTGGCTTGTGGAGCTCTGCAGGATGACAGGAGCTTCCCCCCACCAGGGCTCCTGCCCTGCTTGCAACACCACCCCCTGCTGGGACAGGCTGGGACAGGAGCAGCAGTGAACTTCCCATGGTCAGTGGTCTGCCCTGCTTCCTACAACATCCCCTGCTGGGACTGGCTGGAAGTCCCCCCAGAACTAATTCCCCTGCCCCTGCACCTGCAGGTTAGAGCATCTGTGGAGAGGGGGAAGGGGCACTCACTGGCAGGATGAGATAGTGCTTGACTTTCTGCAGATGACACAAGGACAGGACGAACCCCTTGGGGTTCCGCTGGCTGTCTCGAACCAAGAACACCCTGGAAGACACAAGGAAAGGGTGTCACCCACATGCTGCCCCTCCCCACCCACCATCTGCTTCCCACCAGGGGTGGCCCAAGAAGCATTCGAGTTTGCAGGTAAGCTCAGCTGAAAACAGCACAGCCACACCTGGGACACTGCTGAAAGCAGCTAAAGCTCCTGTCAGGGCTACAGGGTGCAGTGAGTCCTGCCAGAGGTCTCATCTCTGCCAGGGGCCTGTGACAGAAAACAAGAAGGCACAAAATCCTGCTTAACAGCACAACCCTGCACCAAGAAGTGGGGATTTCCTCCTGACAACCAACACTGGTGGGTTCCCAGAAGCATAAAGAATGGATGCCCTCCTCATTGTATCCTCCCTAACACAGCTGCTAGAGCTTATATTATCTAGTATTGCAAGTGCCAGTTGTTCAAAAAACAAGAGTAATGTTCTCAAAAATATTACAGGATGGGCTTAAAGGTCTCAAGACCATTTCTTAAGTTGCTTGTGGGAAGGGTTGATGTTGGCCTTCTGGTTTTCAAGCTTTCTGGGTCATGTGTGGCAATTTTTATCAATAACTACAAAGGTTACAATCTCGCTTTTTTTAAAAAGCAAGCATTTTCTTTACATCAGTGGTTCTCAACCTTTTTTGGACCCAAGGCACCCCTCACTGGACTCAAGGCACCCCTCCATAACTTTTGTGAATTGGGTGGCACCCAATTTCAAAAATGAATGTATGTATAGTGCAGTGCTTACCTCTTTGCAAAGGGCAATAGGGGTGGAGGACTGGCCAGGCAGGGACTGGCTTGAGCCTGGGTTTTATCTGCTTATTTCCTCCTTACTTACCTCCTCACATCTCCCAGCATCTTTCAAAGGATTTGGTGGCACCCCAGGGTGCCCCAGCACCCTGAGTGAGAATTACTGCTCTACATCATCACTTGAATCTCAGAACTGGGGCTTTCATACCAAATAGATAGAGGCTAAAACTGTAGATGTTGGCACAACTGAGCTAGTTTCTTTGGGGTTCTTGTTAAGCCCTTGTGTTCACTAACATCCTGTAGCAGCAAGTCCTTTGAGTTAACTCCCATCCTGGGTTAACAGAGAGCAGTTGGAGTTCCCTTACCCATCTACTAGTCCCTGCTGGATGATCAGTCGCTGCGAGTCCTCTCTTGAAATCCGCCCATGAAACCATGGCTGGGTTCGATGGATGGCTGGGAACAAAGGAAGTGTTAGTGGGGGGAAATGCTTTTATTTGTCTCTCTCATAAATCTGTCCCCTCAGAAAGATTTCTCACTGGGGGGTGGCAGACTTAAAAGTGTCATATGTCTGTGGGTATTTACTGAGATGATAAGTAAGCTCTGTGGGGCAGGAACTGTCCTTTGGTTTTGTGTTTGTACACTGCCTGGTGCACTGGGTTCTGGCTCATGTTTGGGGCCCCTTAGCATCCTTGCAGTACAAATAAGTAAATGAGAACCTGGTCTATCTGCAGGCACTGAGATCAGAGCCCCAGCTGTGCTCGGGGCTCCACAGACCACACAGGAAAAGAAAGTGCTTGCCTCAGAGAGCAGAGTCTCAGTAAGCAAAACAAATGGTGAGAGGGAAAATCCAGGCACAGACAGATGAACAGACTTGTCCAAGGTCATGCAGAGAATTTGTGGCATAGACAGGAAGAGAATTTAGCTCTCCTGAGTCCCAAGCCAGGGCCTTGGCCACTAGGACAGGGGTGTCAAACAGACTCTGTGGACTAGATGTGGCCCATGGAGCTGCTCTATTCGACCTGCCAGGCTACTGATGGGTCATGGAGTTGTGGGGCATGGCCAAGGGGGCATGGTCTGCCCTAGAATCTGAGGCCCTTGGGCACTGGTGGACACAGCAATCAGTGGCAGGAGGGCAGCAAGGGTTGATACAGCCCCCAGTTGCCCTGCAGCCACTTGGCCTGTTGCCACTACCATGTTTGCTTTACTTCTCCTGGCACCAGCCCTGCTGCTGCCACATGCCCTAAGCCGGAGCTAGAGTCGGAGCCACCATGTGCCCTAGGCCAGATCTGGCCCACAAGGAGCCCTGCAGTGAATTCAGGTGGTGAATATGACACACTTTCAGTAGTGCATTCTCTAGCTAGCAGCAATGGAAGAGCCAGGAGCAGGGATGGCTTTGATCCAGCTCTGTAATTCCCTGATAACCCAAGGTGGGGAAATATCCCTTGGGGCACACTTGGTTGTGTGACTATCGAAGCTCATCAGACCTGAAGGCAGGAAGGGCCCTGATTCAGGCTGCCTCCACTTTGTTTGCCCCAGTGCGGAGTATGGGCAACACATGTCCATGCTCATGCACAAGTATTTCACACCCAGCTGGCACTGGGCATAAAGTACAAGGACACTGGGCTCATGCTGGCTCATACATCTTTGTCCAGGCCCAGAATCCTGCACATCCCTCAAGCAGTTGAAAGGGGTGTGGGAGTCTCAACTCACCTGTGCTGAGCGGGGAGCTCTGGCAGGGTGTTGGGAGGCTGTAGCGGTGACTTGTCTTCTTCTGTGGCATACAAAAGGAAGGATTGGGTATTACTGTGGTTTCATTATTATTAGGTCTTATCTCTGTGCTCTTTTAATGGCAAGTAAAACAAGAAATAAGGCTGATAGTGATAGTCAAACCTGGTAGTGAACACAGAGCAAAGCTGGAGACAACTGGAGCAAGGCCTATAGGAGCGGGAGGTTCACAGAGCAGCTGCACTCACCTCTACTGCAGCCCTACCATGCTGGCAAGGTTTCCCTGCCCTTTAAGCTCCTTGGGGGTTCATCTGGATGCAGACAGAGCTGCACCAAGGGAGCCACATTTGAAGGCACTGGCTGGAGCTCAGAATAGCTCACAGGCCCAGCAGCCACTCTGAGCTGGTTGTAGCAGACCCAGGAACTGGGCAAGGGGATTGCAGCTTTCCCCTGCCACTTCAGGTGTGCCATGGGTGCACAGTGAGTTCTGAGCTCACTGCCCCATCAATGTGGGCTCCAGCTCAGCATGAGCAGTGAGCTCTGAACTCACCAACTGATCAGAGCAGGGGCTAGTGGTAGCCCCTGCTTTGGCACAGCTCTGGGGCTCAGGGGATGAACACTGCTGCTGTCTGTCCTTCCCTTTTCCTCCTCACTGCTGAATTCAGCAGCAGCAGGGCAAAGGGGTACAAGTGGCTGTGGCAGTGCTCACCCCCTGGGCTCCCCACATGAAAGCAGGGGAGCAGACCCCACATTGAGTGCTCACATGGAACAGCTAGGGGAGGGATCCCACTGCTGCACTCCTTCTCGATTTGCCCCGGTGAGCTGCTCTTCCTCCTTGACTACATACACGTACAAGGACGGGAGCTAAAGAATCCCAATCTTACTAGTTCTCCCTATGGGAAAGGCTTGATTGTGATAAACTTCCCCCACTTCACACCAGGAAAATCAA